GAGGGTTTCCGGGCGCCCACGTGACCCGCGCGGGGCCCGCGGCATGCTGGGAGTTGTAGTCCGACGGCGAGGGCCGGGGGCGTTGGATGGGGGGAGGGCTGCTTGCACGGGCCGCGGAGGTCGCGGTGCACCCGGCTGCTGGGCGGGGCTGGGGAAGGAGGCGCGGGCGGGTGCACCGTCCAGGAATGCGAGGGAAAAAGCGGTGCAAATGCAAGATAAAACCTGAGGAGAAATAATGTATACATCACCCTTTTTTTATCCCCCCCCCAAAGCTTTATTCAGCTCTTTGTTTTTATAGACGGCTAGGTGTTGCTAAATGTACTGTTGACATGACACGAGGGCACAGGTTTTAGATTGTTGCTTAATTAAATACAGTTGCCCATAGTCTACCAGTATCATTCGCGGTTCTACGTCCCACTCCACCCACCCAAATAAACAAATGAATGTCCAGATCCTGGCGGCCTCAAGCAGAAGTTAAAGGCCTTACAACATTCGGCTTTGAACAAGGGTCCTCTGTCTTCCTGGGCTGCTTTCAACTGTTGAGGAAATATAATTTAAAAAACAAAACAAAACAAAACAAAAAAACCTCCCAACCCAGACAACCTCTCCACAAAGGTAGTAGATTAGGAAACAGTTTCATTGTTGAATGAGCTTTAATCCAGAGTGTGATGCATTGCACAGGCGACGCGCTAAGATTGCAGAGGCTGAAGGAATCTCCCCGTTTCATAGCCAAGCCGGCAGCGACAAGCCCACACGGCCCGGCCCGTACAACCCCGAGCAAGCATGTTCTCAAGACAATGACGAGTCCTCAAATGACAGGAGGTTTTGTCACACACAGTCCATCCTAACTTTATCACCGTGACTGGGGAGACCGCCTGGGTTGGCTTATCCAGAGGAGAAACAAACTTCTCGGATCTTTGGGACGAGAGATAGTTTTGCAGGTTGGAGCCCAGTGCCCACAAACTGGACTCCTACCCTCACACGGGACCTGGGAGTTGGGAACACTATCGCCCGGGGTGTTTGCATTTCAAAGATGATTGCCAGGTCCTGGAGGAGACATTCCTCAGCTGTGAGACTAACCGCAGGTTATTTAGCCATTATAAATATATACCTGTATTTGAAAAGTACACAGAAAGAACTTTTGAAACAGAGGGAGGGAGGGGAATTGATGAAATGCAGTAGTTTTGTTTCCAGTCACCTCGGGGTGTAGCTGGGGAAACAGGATGTCAGGGTGAGCAACAATAAATCAGCCCAAAGTTTCACTTTTATTTTAAAAAATACTTAGTAGGATATGACTCAGACTTTAAAAAGGAATGAAATTCTGATACATGCTACCGCACGGATGAACCTTGAAAACATTATGCTAAGTGAAATAAGCCAGGCACAAAAACAAACATTGTATGATTCCACTTCTGGAATCAAATTCATAGGAACTGCCCTGGCCGGTTTGGCTCAGTGGTTAGAGCGTCCGCCCATGGACTGAAGCGTCCCGGGTTCAGTTCCGGCCAAGGGCACACACCCCGGTTGCAGGCTCGTTCCCTGGCCCCGGTGGGGCTCGTGAAGGAGGCAACCAATCGATGCTTCTCTCTCTCTTTCCCTTCCACTCTCTCTGAAAAAGCAATGGAAAAAAATATCCTCAGGTGAGAGTTAAAAAAAAAAATAAAAATTCATAGGAACAAAAAGTAGAATAGTGGTTACCAGGGGCTGAGGAGAGGGGAGAATGGGAGTTACTGTTTAACGGATATAAAGTTTCAGTTGGGTTAATGAAAAAGCTCTGGAGATGGGTGTGGTGGTGGTTGCACAAAAATGTGAATATATTTCCTGCCATTGAATGGTACACTTAAAATGGTAAAACGCATATATCGTGAAATAGGTATGTATGTGTACATGTATGTATATGTGTGTCTATAAAATAAGTGTATAACCTGGTCACCACCCCCCAGAATCTTCTTCCCCATAGGCCAAGCTACACTCCGCACTTGGAGTCAGGTTGATGGAGAGGGTGGGAGTAGGGAGAGGCAGAGTCTCTCCTTGCTTTCCATAACCATCGGGACACTTTACCGCTTGATGTCTGCTCTGGATGTCCTCCAAGTGCCGGCTCTGAGTCGGCTGGCTTCTTTTCCCTTTAACCCTAACCATTACCAGGAGAAGAAAACATTTGACGGCCAACCTCCCTGACACCGACATCTAGCGGGTTCTCTTTCCTGCCCCCTGCCCATATGTTTGTGGCGGATCTTGACCTACGTGCCATTTCCTAGCCGCAGGCATGTGACCGTGGCTCTCACAGCGGCAGTCTGCAGCAGCAGCACTTGGCAGCGTCTTCTGTTTTCTTGCTCTACCTGCCGGCGTCGGGTTTACCTTACTCAAGAGGGCAGTTCCAGAAAACTGATCTGTACACGGAATTTGGAGTAAAATAAATCATATTTTAGAGGTTATCTGGAGGAATCGTAGAAAAAAAACGTTCTTGGATGGTGAACAAGCTGCCCTCTCTTTCAGTGCTTCTCAATCTTTCTCGACCTCAACCCTCGGGAAGAAATACATTTTACACATGCGGGTCTGCAACGGACCCAGACATTTCACGGAAGGATGCTGAGCCTTGCGACGTGAGACACCCTCTGAAATTCTCGGCTCCCCTTTTCTGGAAAAATGCTGGTTGCAACCCACTAAAATGGACTTCATGACTCAAGAATCGGTCTCGGCCCACAGTTTGCAAACACTGTACCAATTTAAATATTTCATCAGTGGATGTTTCTGTTTTGCGTAGGGAACCTGTATGGCTTAACTGCCGAACGTTGCATCCTTCATACGGAGGAAATCGAGTCCCTGTGCTCTGAGAGCCAGTGGCGGGTCCCCACTCTGCAGGGGGGAAAAGTACAGGAATTCAGCGCCGCTTTACGTTTCTGCCGCCGGCTCAGGGACCGGCTGATAAGCTCTGTTTCCTCAGACCTGGCACTGAACCTCTGTTCTGTGTAGATTACTCGAGGGGGAGAAACAGAAGTGTTTTTCCAGCTCTTTCCTGCCGTCCGGAGCCGAAGTTCTTTTCGTTTTTTCAATCTTCTCTCTGGATCCCCTCCTTTGTCTTAGTGGCTCCTCGAGAAGAGTAATTGTGATCCACAAAGCAACGGAAAGACTCGAGCCCCAGATCTGTAGCCTTTAAACTGTGTTCTCTCCACTCGAGCCCGCACCCAGCCAAACGGGCCATCGGGGGAAAAAATCGGGGCCGGGCCGGGGGCTGCCTAAGAGGAGGCGAGCGGAAGCAGGGAGCAGGGTGCTTGGGGAGGTGTCGCCTGAGCTCCCTGGCTTTGCAGGTGACGCGTGTGCGCTGGCCAGCGCCTCACCTGCGCTCGGCGCCCAACGGCGGCTCAGCTCGGGCTCAGGGGCGGTGGGAGGGCTTCCCTTTCCTTTCGCTTTCTCGGGACACCTGGGGACAGAACTACAGTTCCCACCACGCAGCGAGGCGGCAGGAAGAAGGGGCCCCGCGGGCCGAAAAGGACAACAAAGAGCGAAGGAAAACCTTACCTGCCGGCGGAGGCGAGGGAGCCGGACGGGCGAGCGCCAGGTGAGCGGGGAGGCCAGGGCCCCGGGATGCAGGATGGGACTGTCGCCCGCGGACCCTGCTTCCTCCCCGCAGGGCGTGNAGGGAGCCGGACGGGCGAGCGCCAGGTGAGCGGGGAGGCCAGGGCCCCGGGATGCAGGATGGGACTGTCGGGTGGGGTTAAAGGAGCTTTTGTGGAAACCTTGAGGACTTCCTGGGGGGGGAGGCATAGATGGAAGGTTTCAGCTCAAGGTCTAGTGATAAGACAGGGAAGCGGAACGGTTTCTTTATTTGAAAAGTCGGAGGAGGGAAGAAGCCGAGTGGTTCGATCGTGTCTCTTGCCTGCTGGACCCTTGAGCCGCAGGTGACTTCGGAAGCGTCCAAGAGAGGACGGGGGTTTTTGCAGGTATTTGTGTGCATTTTAATTCGTGTCACGATACACACTTGTCCTTTTCTATGACTTTGAAGAAACCCAAAGAAAAAGGGGAGGGGGGATGAAGAAGGGTATCATATGGCAGGAGCACTTTGTGACACATCAAATTTAATCAAGTGGGGTTGGGTCTCGTGTGTTTTTATGAGGCACTTGCTGGGGAGACATAACACGAGAGCCTGAGAGGAAGAGTCGAGGGCCTGGGGGTATGTGCCCGGAGCGGATATGCTTGGAGCTCCAAATATCTGATGGGCTGGCGTGTGGAATCGGAATCTGCCCGGGCTGGCAGAGCGCGAGGGTCAGCAGGTGGAAGCGGGGAGGTAGATTTCAGCCCCACGTAAGCTAGAGCTGCGCACGCAGAACGGATTTTTGCAGGAGGTAGTGAGTTCCCCACGATCGGGGATATTGAAGCATGGGGGGGGGAGTCAGCAGACCCCACGAAGGCGAGAATAATAAAATTTCAGGTGAGTGATTGTGATCAACGTTTCCCAAGCCTGGCTGAGCATCAGACTCACTTGGGGACTGTGTGCATGTTGTGCTTGTGTTTTTAAATATCTTCAGCAGATCTGGGAGGGGCTGAGGAAACATGTATTTTTCATTATCTCCCCAGATAATTCTGATATAATCGGTTAGTTTGGGAGACACTGTCACTTAGAAACTATGTTTTTTTCCAGCTTATGGTTAAAGTATGCCATATACCTTCTCACGACAGTTTTCGTTTTGAATATTCTCGAAGTCCTGATTTCCTGGTCAAGAAAAATGAGGTGCCAGGCAGAAGAAAAAGACCATGTCCAGGCTTGTCGGTCCTTGTTGCTGGTTGCCTGGACACTCGGTCTCCCAGTAGTTGGAAGTCCTCTCCCCAGTGAAATGGAGATAGGATGGCAGCCAGGCATGTCCTCCAAGTGATCAGTGGCAGGAAAAACACTCCTGTGGGCACCTCCTCTGCCACCCTCCCGCTGTGTGGGCGCTCGAGGGAGCAGGGACACCTGGTCTCAATGACTGGGATTCCACCAATGCTGTCATCTGACTGTGTTGACTCTGTAGGGGGCCCAGCTGAGGGCACCCCTAAAGTAACATCGACCCCCCCCGAGGCAGGTGTGAGCTAGTGGGGGCAGCTCCCTTGTACCTGACCAGTAGTTAGTGAGTGCCCTTCTCCCACGAGGACATTAGTGCTGTGAAAGCAATGATCTCCCCCTGCCTTGTTCTGTCCTGGACCCCAAGTGCCTAGAACAGTGCCTGGAGCCTGGTGAGTGCTCACTAAAGATTTGCTGAGCCTTGGCTGGTGTTTTTCAGTAGTTAGAGCATCGGCCTGCACACCAGAGGGTCTCAGGTTCGATTCCCGGTCAAGGGCATGCACCTGGGTTGCAGATTTGATCCCTGGCCCTGGTCAGGGCTCTTGCGGGAGGCAACCAATCGATGTATCTCTCTCACCTTGACCTTTCTCTCTCTCTCCTCTCCCTCCCTCTCCCTTTCCCCCCCTTCCACTCTCTCTAAAAATCTCTAAAAAATGGAAAAAATATCCTTAGATGAAGATTAACAAAAAAATATATTTTTTTTAAAAAAGAGAGAGAGAGATGCTGAATTCCCTTTTTCTTCCCAGCTCCAGTCTAGGTAGCCAGAGCCATGCAATTCTCCAGCTCAGCCAGGGCAGCAGATGAGAACTTTGACTATCTGTTCAAGATCATCCTCATCGGGGACTCCAATGTGGGGAAGACGTGCGTGGTGCAACATTTCAAATCCGGGGTCTACACGGAGACGCAGCAGAACACGATTGGGGTGGACTTCACCGTGCGCTCCCTTGAGATCGATGGCAAGAAAGTGAAGGTGAGAGGGGCGCAGGGTTCGCTCCCCCTCATTTAGCCAGAGTGGCTGGCACCGAAACACATGCCTGAGGAATAAAAGATTTAAATGTAACATATGAAATCATACAAGTGCCAGGAAAAAACATAGGTGTATTCACTTTTATCATTGTGGAATGAGGAAACTGGCATTTTCGGTAAAGGAGAAACCCAGGAATCTGTAATAGTATCAACAATAAAAATTAAAAATAAATTAAAAATCAAAAAAGATGAGAAACCCACAAGCCATAAGGGAAAATATTGCTCAATCTAACTATCTCAAGGTCAAATTTAAGTATTTTTATAAAACTATATAAAAGTAAAATTTCTACATACTCAAAAATATCATAAACCAAGTAAAAAGATGAATAACAAATTGGAGATATTTACATATATGGGACTTGACCAAGGGCTAATTTTTTAAAATATATATTTTATTGATTTCAGAGAAAGGAAAGGAAAGGGAGAGAGAGAAAAAAAACATCAATGATGAGAGAGTCATTGATCCGCTGCCTCCTGCACGCCCCCTGACTGTGAATTGAGCCCAAAACTCGAGCATGTGCCCTGACCGGGAATGGAACCGAGACCTCCTGGATCCTAGGTCGATGCTCAACCTCTGAGCCACGCTGGCCAGGCAGGGATAATTTCTTTAATTAGAAAATTTCTTTGATTAGAAAAGATCAAAAAGTGTTGGGAAAATGTAATAAGTGGGTCTCGTTTGGGATCCTGATTAAACAAAAACAACAGTGAAAAGATGTTTTTTGGAGACAATCAGGAAAATTTTCATATGGGCTGGGTGTTAAATGATACCAAGGAGTCATCAAGAAGTTTGTTAACAGTGGTAATGGTGTTGTGGTTATGAAAGAAAACGTCCATTTTAGTAGGGATGAAATGACATGAACTCTGGGATTTGCTTTAAAATAATACCTCAGCCCTAGCTGGTTTGGCTCAGTGGTTAGAGCATCAGCCCCCTGATTCAGGGGCCTGGGTTAGATTCCAGCCAAGGGCACGTATCTCGGTTGCAGGCTCAGTCTCATTCGGGAGGGAACCAGTCGATGTGTTTTTCTCACATCAATGTTTCTTNTTAGATTCCAGCCAAGGGCACGTATCTCGGTTGCAGGCTCAGTCTCATTCAGGAGGGAACCAATCGATGTGTTTTTCTCACATCAATGTTTCTTTCTCTCTCTCTCTCCCTTCCACTCTGAAAAGCAATGGAAAAGATATCCTCGGGTCAGGATTAAAAAATAAAATAAAATAAAATAAAATAAAATAAAATAAAATAAAATAAAATAAAATAAAATAAAATAAAATAAAATAAAATAAAATAAAACCTGAAAGAAATCAATAGAACGGGCTAGATGCAGCAAGAGTGGGAAAACCTTGATGCTGATTGGATCTGGGACGATGGGTATGTGAGGGTTCATTGCTCTAGTCTCTCTAGCCTTGCGTACATTTGCCAACTTGCCTTAAAAAATAAATTTTATGAGTAGCGTAAGTATATGAAGAAACAGGTACCCTCAGACACCGCGGGAGGGTGCATACATCGGTGCCATTGCTCGGGACGGTAGTTTAGAAGGCCCCATCACGGGGACACTCCTGAACATAAAAGCCGAGGAGTCCTTAACAGTCAGAACAGGTCAGCCAACGGGACCTCCTTTTCCAGTGCTAACGCCAGTGGGCAGGCTCAAGAGATAAACCCCAAAATCCAGACCAAGGGATGACTGAGGTGAAAAGGGAGAACACCAGACCCCAGGACATCAGATCCCCCTCTCCGGCTGAAGCATCCCCGAGGTGGCAGCTCCCCAACCTGGAAGCCCGTCCAGATTCCCCTGGGGAGCAGCTGGAAAACTAGATGTGCGGGCCCGGCGCGGACCTCCTGAGCCTGGGTATCCAGAAGGGCGACATTGTGCACACAGCTCAGTGAGCAGCCCCGCCGGGCGTGGGAACTGATGCCCCCCCCGCCCCCCCAGATGCAGGTGTGGGACACCGCCGGCCAGGAGCGCTTCCGGACCATCACGCAGAGCTACTACCGCAGCGCCCACGCGGCCATCGTCGCCTACGACCTCACCCGCAGGTCCACCTTCGAGTCGGTTCCTCACTGGATTCACGAGATAGAAAAATACGGCGCCGCGAACTTGGTCATCATGCTGATCGGTATGTGTTTTGCTTCCCTGGTCCCCTCTGCTGACGCTCAGCTTTCCGGGTGTTGCTGGCGGCAGGGGGACAGGACATTGTAAAAGTGCCGGCGGTGGACGGGACCTCAGAAAGCGTCTGGCCCACAAATTCCCGTTAGATCCCCTTGAAAACGAGAGAGGGGTGAAATTGTTGCGAATGCAGATCTCCAGGCCCCACCCTAGGGTTTCTCAGAATGAGACCTGGGCGCCCCAGCTGATGGGCTGCGCGTGTCTGTGGAGCCCACGCGGGAAAACCCCGGAGGCCGAGGGCCACAGTCAGACGGCTTAGTCCCTGGGGGAGCCACTCAGGTGAGTGTGACTGACACACCCTCGAAGGACTTCTTTTTTTAAAAAAATGTTATTGATTTTTTAGAGAGAGAGGAAGGGAGAGGGAAAAAGAGAAACATCGATTGGCTGCCTCCTGCACGCCCCCTACTGGGGGTTGAGCCTGCAACCCAGGCATGTGCCCTGACCGGGAACTGAACCCATGACCTCTGGGTGCATGGAACGAAGCTCAACCAACCCAGCCACACCGGCCAGGGTGCCTGACACATTTTAAATGCTTAATGGACGTAAGATTTGTTTCTAGAAGTTTCATTAGGTTGAAGGAACTATCTTGTTATGTTTCTCAAATAATGGGAGGCTGTGGTGAGGGCACAAGTGCCTGGGACCTAGGAAAAGCTGGCAGTCGAGCCCCAGCCAGAGCAGGAACCACCGTGGGGCCAGGCCACCCTCCGAGCAGGAGCGTGGGGTCGTCCTCTCAGGGCTGAGCTCCCTGAACCAGGCCCTTGCCCTACTGAGCATCGGTTTCCTGCATCTCAGAGCTGCTTCTCACATGCAGGATCGCATGGGCCTGCACATCTCACCCCTGTACACCCCCATGGAGTTTCTCAAAGCATCATCCCCGGCCGGCCTGCTCCCCCACAAGTCCTCTCATTGTCTCGGTATCCCCTAGCTCACAGTCCTCAGGAGGGGGATCCCATTGCCCCCCACTCATGGCAAAGCCTGGCCCAGGCTACTGGTCAACCTAAAAGTGGGAGGCTGCATGCTGAATAGAGGCGGCAGTCACTGAGTGCAAAGCCTGGCCTTGGATGGGCTGAAGAAGGCTGAATTGGCACATCTAGCCCACTTATTACTATCATGACTCCAAAGAGGAGTTATTTTCGAACCATTTTTCCCCCTAAGCCTTTGATGTTCTGATTCGTGGTCTAGCCCCATCTTACGCACAGATTTGAAAACACACAGCTTTGGAACTCATCCGTTTCTCCCAAGAATCGAAGTCATCCCAGGCCCTGGGCTGGGCTCGCCTCTTCCTGACGCATCGGATTCCACAGCCCATCGCCCAAGTCAGTGCCCCTCAGCTGCAGTCCCCTCTTCTTTTCAGAGGGGCTGTGTCTCATCCCACGTGGCAGAAATCAGAAAAGAGATTAGTGAGGCCAGGAAGCAGCTTCCACGTGGAGGGCAGCTTGACTTTTGGGGGAGGAGATGCCTCCTCTCTCCTCTCACTTCTGAAGGTCCCCTCTGGGATCCGAAACTTCTGTGATTTAACTTCTGGTATAAAGAACACTTCTTCTAGAGGCCGAGTTCAGGGTGATAAAAATAAACACTGACCCCCAAAAAGGGCCAAATTTCTTCCTTTCCTTCGAAGCACCGAGGAGGCAGACTGTTCACTGACACTGTTGTATAGCTACAGGTTCATAGTCTCTCAGTGAAAATGCTTAAGGCCAAAGATTTGAGTCCAGAACTTGTCAGATCTTAGTGGGGAGCCTGCTGCTACCTAATGCCCTCAGCAGGGGCTGGGCACACGCCCATGGTCAAATGCGTTCATATTTATGCAGCGAAATGCATGACTAGTCATACAAAGCAGGCTGAATAAAAACTGTAAGGGATGGTGCACCTGTACCGCTAACAACTTGTACCATTCACCTGGCCCACAGGGTGTGTCATTTCATGGCCTGTCTTAGATGAGCAAATTCTTGTCTAGCTGTTTATTTTTAAATGTTTTTACTGATTTGAGAGAAACATCGACCGGCCGCCTCCTGCACGCACCCTACCGGGGATCAAGCCCACAACCAGAGACTGTGCCCTGACCGGGACGACGCCCAACCAACCGAGCCACACTGGCCAGGGCTAAAGTTCTTTTTCTTTAAAAAAAAGCAGGTTAAGTTACTCGGTGCAATATTTGCTTTTCCCCCACTCGCAGGCAACAAATGCGACCTGTGGGAGAAACGGCACGTTCTGTTCGAGGACGCCTGCACGCTGGCCGAGAAGCACGGCCTCCTTGCCGTTCTGGAGACATCGGCCAAGGAGTCCAAGAACATAGACGAGGTCTTCGTGCTCATGGCCAGGGAGCTGATCGCACGCAACAGCCTGCAGCTGCACGGGGACAGCGCCCTCCGCAGCCTGCCCCTGGACTCCAGTCCAGTTCTCGTGGCCCAGGCGCCGAGTGAGAAGGCCCACTGCACTTGCTGAGTGTGCTCGCGAGGCCGATGGCACCCACCGGAGGCCACCTCTAAAACCAAAGGTGGTGGGTCCAGTGTCTGCTAAGGAGCGTTTCAGACCCGAGTGTAGGCCTTCGGCGAGTCCTCGATCCCCCACTCAGACCCGCGGCCACAGCGGCTGACTCTCAGGACGGGGGACGCTGCTGTCCTTTTTGATCTTGCCTTGGACTGAAAGGCACAGTGGTGGGAGGACAAGGTTTGCTCGTCCATCTGTCCCTTGTCTGTCTCCCCAAACCCTTCAACTATGTTTCTCCTGAATTTTGCTTCTCACTCGTAGAGGGTAGTGAAGGGGAGAGAGGATGTTTGGAAGATCCTGGGAGAGTTTTAAAACAGCTGGGGCCTGGGAGAATGGGGGAAAAAGCCAGAATGCCTTAACATTTGCTTCCTGATAGTCACACCTCAGGGCTTCAGTTTGGGGAGCAAAGCCTTTTGACATAAAGACCATAAATACCTCTTGCCAAATGGTCAGGAGCCACGTGATGGAGACTGAACTGGATTTCACTTTGTTAGCTGGGGCTGAGTTGACTACCCCCATAGAATACGGGAGAGGCCTACAATTTCTTTCTAAAACACCAAATTAGCTGCTGGGTCAGAAGGCATTTCTGAATTGAAATTTAAATGAGCAGCAAACCAATACCGACCTCTCGGTGTGGCCCTGGGCACACCACGTACCTGTGTGACGCACCGTGGTTTTTCTGAGATCCCCGATGGTTGCTGAGGTGTGTCTTGCAGCCACATTAAGAACCACAAAGGCCGGTGTAGCCACACTGGCTCCAGGAGAAATGTCCGTGCAGCTCTCCCAGGGCCCAGGCGAGCGCCCACGGGCATTTCTAGCCGATAGCATCACTACCAATAGGCTGAGATGAGACCTGCACAGTCACTAGTCCCGTGTGGCTGTTGAGTGCTTGAAGACAGAGGCTGGGCAGGATATGAGATTACTGGCTCCCGCCAATTTCCCTTCATTTCTCTGCACATCCAACAGCCTCATCAGCTTCTAGGATTATGCACTCTGGGGATTTTCTGGAATAGAAATATTCCTACCAACAGGTCAGACACGTGAGAACCAAGTCACCTGAACACCAGGAACCTGTGATTAACCGGCCTGGGCTTCTGCTGAAATGGCAGGGCTGTGACAGTAATGCTTGCGGACACTTGAAAGGGACTTAAAGAGCCCCCCGCGGCGGAGCGGCTTTGCTGGATTCTACTCTGCAGCTGAGCAGCCGCTCGGGCAGGCTCCTCTCTAGCTGTGGTCTCACAAGGCTGCGTGTTGGCTGGATTCTGGCCTTCCTCTCACGTCCCCAAAATTATACAGTTGGTAAAAAAGTTATGTGAAATTAAGTTACAAAAGGGACATTTCAGGGGAATAAAAAAATTGTAAATGTCTCCATATTGTGTTCACCGGTGTCAAGTACATTCCCATGTGCGCGAAAATCTTTCGGTGGCTGTTTCATTGTTCATAGATTGTGAGCAACCCAAGTATGCGCCCTTGACTGGGAATCGAACCCGTGACCCTTCGAACCTCTAACCACTGAGGTTCTACACTCCCTCTGATCAGGTTTGGGCTCCATAATATTAACCCCTCCGCCTCCTCCACACAGAAAGAGAAACTCATTCCAAGACACGCTCTCGCACATACATTTCGGTATCGCAGAAGCTGAAGGGGGCAAGACGCGCGCAGGGGGGTGGAAGAGGCCAGTCCTTTCTCTGCAGGGGATGTGGCGCTTGTCTGAAACTTCCTTTCCAGCAGGAGTGACGCGGAAACCCGTCCACTCACGTGCAAGGTCACAAGGGTGACCCAAGGCAAGCCCCGCTGCAGTCCACCCGCCACTCCAGCAGGAGGGCTAGAGGGAGGATGGGAAGGGCTCGGGAAGTCAGAGCTCCCTGCAGGCGGTTTGCAAACCTCCAGGCAGGGGATGGAGAGGAGTCTGAGGATCCATAGCAAAGGCATGGATTTTTCATTTTCAAAAGTATCTATTCAAGAGGCTGTGCTCAATTACTGAGTGACCATGCGCAAGTGCTCACAAGATTCACGCAGATGGCTCACCTTGCAGAACACTGCCGGCTGCAAGGCGGTTTTGACATCATGTAGTTTCTTAACAATACATTGTTTAATTTATACCCAAAAATAATTGCTGACGACTGGAAGCACCAGGAATGCCAAAGTGGAAGTACAATAGGGAGCAGAGAATAGGTGATAATTCTGCAAAATCACCCAAAGATCCCTCTTCACCTGACCTGTAAGTTGCATTTACTTATCACTTACCTTTTTTTTTTTTCTCTAAAATGTCTTTATTGATTTCAGAGAGAGGGAGGGGGAGATAGAAACATCGATGAGAGTCATTGATCAGCTGCCTCCCGCACGCTTACCACTCACCCTTAACACCTGCATTTCTTCTCACATCGCTGCTTCTCTCCTCCCTCTCCCTCTCCCTCAAAAAAGCAATGGAAAAAAGTATCCTCCAGTGAGGAATAACAATAAAGGATTTGTCATTGGGGGGGGGCAGATTAGAAGAGCTGATTTCCCCCCCAATGTATCACTGTCAATATGCTGCACATTGAAAAAAAATTGTAATTACAGAAAAGCTTAAAGAAATTAACCCCCCCGGGATGCCACTTAGTGATGCTCTCAATACAAATGCCCACGATTACAGGGAGGAGGAGCCACCACCACAGGAGAAACCAGAGGTGGTGTCAGCCGACGCTGCTCGGGAGTGGTCTGCACACTATTTCCAGTCCACGGCAGAGGAACTGGCCATTGAGGGCACTTGGAAACTTTTATCGATTTGGCATTGCCACAACATCCAACTTTACGTCAAACCCAGTAACAACTCTGGGATTTTACTAAGGGCATTTTTCATTTCGTTTTTCTAACAATTCAATTTTAGTGTCTTTCACAAGAGCATTGGCCCATGATGGGTTGGAAATGAAAAATGAAAGATAACTGGTCCTTCACCACCAACAGTCTGAGAAACACTGGTGTAAAATAATGCTAATGATTGGGGGAAATAGTGACCAGTTCTGCCAACTGCTCTGAGAAGCCAAGGAAATGAAGTTTCCTGCAACTCCCGAACTGGCAGGAAGGACAGCAAAGACCCTTGGCAACACTTTTGGTGGAATGATGGGGGTGAAGTCCACTGCGCAGGGTGGTCAGTCTACTCGAGTCTGGCCTCCTCCGGGAGAGCCTGCTCCACAGCTTAGCAACTATGAAACCAGAGGCAAATGATTTTACCCAAGATTCGGTTTCCTCCATCATAAATCAGAGATGCCACTTAGCTCACACTGCTGTAAGGATGAAACGAGAGCTACACGACGTGCTACGTACAGGACCTGGCACACTATGCATTCAATAATGGTAGTTATTTTTAAATCACAATAGGCCCTCACCTTGTAACTGCTGATTCAGCACATGGCTCCCAACGTCTCCCTGGCAGGTGGGAAAAACGCAAACGTGGTCTGAGTCACAAGGCACAAACTTAAGTGCAAAGAAGTCTGGGAAGTGGAGGGGATGGCATGGATTGCTGATGGGCACTGCTTCTGTTGCATCTGTACTCAGAGCATCTCCAGTCCTGGCATTGTGCCCAGCAGGCACTCAAATATTTGTGAAACAAATGGTTACCTTCGTCTTACTAAAAATGTTATCCAGCCCTGGCCGGTGTGGCTCAGGTGGTTGGGCATCGTCCTGTGCACCGAGAGGTTGCCAGTCGGCACATGCCCAGGTTGCCAGGGCTCACTCCCTGTAGAGTTCGTGCGGAGGCAGGCTACCGATGTTTCGCTTTCACATTGATGTCTCTCTCTCCCCCTTCCTCTCTCCCTAAAATCAATAAAAATATTTTTTTAAACACAGTAGTTTTAACACAGAAGGCAAGGGAAGGGGAAGAAAGTTATCTGTATCTACATTTTTTAAAAAGCCCTTTTTAAGAGGGCAAATTTATCATCAGAAATGAGGCTTCCTTTAAACAAGTTTTACCTTTCTCTTACTAATTCAGTTTCACATTTTTAGATTACATTCCCCGTTAACAGACNCATCAGAAATGAGGCTTCCTTTAAACAAGTTTTACCTTTCTCTTACTAATTCACAGTTTCACATTTTTAGATTACATTCCCCGTTAACAGACAGAGGTAGGTACAGACTTGTGGAAGTCAATTTCTTCAATTCTAAGTATTTATCATGGGAATAAGACGATTAAAAGAAAATTAAGAGCATCAGTTGAACCTAAAAATACTTTTATTTGTTCAGGCAGCTCGTGCTACACGTCTTTTCTACGCGCTGTAAGGGAGCAGCAATAGAGACCTGGTTAGTCTGGAGGAGTAAGAGTCTGGCTATTTTCTATTGTCAGCAAAAGATCGCTTCCTGTCATGTGATACGAAGAAATAAGCACCTAGTTACAATATAAAATGTAAGGCTGTTCAAACGTTTGTGAAGTCTAAGTGCTAGACACTGTGGAAATAAAGCAGCCACTTTCGGAGACAGTGATACGGTGTTAACCACTTTAGATATTACTTACAAAGGACTTACTGTTTACACTTTAAATTCTTTTCTCACTTAGAGGTAAACGTCTTTGCTGCTCAAGCCTCTGAAACCGGCAAACTGCTTCTAGTGGTTGAGGGCTATTTAAAAAGTTTCTAGCTTCCTTATTTACAACAACAATTTTACTAAATACATGCTTCTACACACTGAACTACAGCACAAAGTCGCATTCTAAAAAGTATACGTTTCCAGTAGTAATATTTATTGCCAAAGTGTAGGCCAAAAAGCAAATAGTTCGCAATGTGTTTCCTAACATCTGCATACCATGTAGTGATGTCCAACCATAAAAGTTTGTTCAACGATTCAAACGCCTTAGAATTTACTTTTTACTTGATTATCTTGAATAAAGGTGCTTAACATTGTTTTTTATTTAGTTTTCCTTATAAAAAAAGTTCTTTCAGCAAAGGATTTCAACACAGGATGGGCTATGTCAACAGAAAGATTCAAAATCTCAGCGGCATTTCACCCCAAGGTTAATTCCCCGCTCAGGCTGTGTCACTCGGCCAGCCGAGTGCCCCGCTCCACCTCTCCTCAAACTGTATTCAGCATGTGGGACAGCTGCCTTCTCAGACATGGTCAGCTGCCGTGGAAATGGGGAGCATGAGGTAAATCACGAGCTGGCTCTGCAGACTTTCACCTGGAAACGTCACTTCCGCTCCCATCACATCAGCCTAAGAAAATTCAATGGGCTTTGCAGCCATACTGTGCACCCAGAAAGCAGACAGCACTATCTATAAGCACCTTACCAGGGTCATCACTCCCCTCTCCCCATTTCTGGCAGTCTTTGCTTCACCTTTTCCCCAACCTTTTTCAAAATCAGAATCTACAGTCTGGCCAGCGTGGCTCAGTGGCTGACCATCGACCGACCTATGAGTCAGGGGGTCACAGTTCGATTCCTGGTCAGGGCACATGCCCGGGTTGCAGGCTTGATCCCGTCAGGGGCATGCAAGAGGCAGCCGATCAGTGATGTTTCTCCCATCACTGATATTTCTCTCTCCCCCTCTCTCCCTTTCTCTCTCTGAAATCAATAAAAACATTAAAAAAAATCCATCTATACCCACAGGAGTGTCAGAAGCAAGCATTATTTCTTGTGTGGTGGTAGAAGAGGCTGAGATAGTAATTTTGTGCAAATGAGAATGTTTCGCTTGTCACTATTGGTGTCCCAGCCCTTTTAGCAATCAGCGACCACGCTGAAGGGCTGTCAGTGCAGTGACAGGGTAGCAACACCCACTGTGGACTGGCTAAAACATGAGCCTCCACTGCCTTTTGGAAGGGGAGCTGCGCCAAACATAAAGCTACCTAAAGGCCAGGTGCTCTCATCACACCTAGACCATTCTCCCGACTCAGATATGCTCACAGGGCGGTTCCTGATGAGTCTCTTGCTCCCTCCAGACACCAAAAAGCAAGCAGCGGAAGTCTCCCCCCATTTAGATCCCCAGCACTTGCACCAGGTCTCTGAGGTTCTCCAGCACCCTTGGGGGCACAGGTGGTCCCCAGCGTAGCCTCATCAGTAGCAGCTTAGGGTGGACTTCTGACATTTCTGGAAGGAGCAGCTGGCCCGTGAGCTCACAGAAAGATGACTCGGACCCCTCCAGCTGTTACTACGACTACAGTGTCGACAGACACAACCCCTCCGGGTAGAGACATTTTCAGCAGCCTGTTTTTGTTAACCCTCAGCCAAGGGCATTTTTCCCACTGACTTTTAGAGAAT